AAACTCCGTCTCAAAAAAAAAAAAACAAAAACAAAAACAGAGATGCCTTGAGACTTGATGCATCTGCCCACACCCAGATAATGAGGGTTATCTTAGCACAGGTGACTTATCTCCCATACTGCTAAGTATTCGGAAGCTGCTTCTTGAAAGGTAACTACGCCAGATGTGGTGGCTCACGACTGTAACCCCAGCACTTTGGGAGGCCAAGGTGGGTGAATTGCCTGAGGTCAGGAGTTGAAGACCCAGCTGGCCAACAAAGTGAAACGCCATCTCTACTAAACATATGGAATTAGCCAGGTATGGTGGTTGGCGACTGTAATCCCAGCTACTTGGGAGGCTGAGGCAAGAGAATTGCTTGAATATAGGAGGCAGAGATTACACTGAACCCGGATGGCGCCACTGTACTCTAGTCTGGGCAACAGAACAAGACTCTATCATCTCAAAAAAAAAAAAAAAAAAGTAACTAGCTCTCTCCTGCAGAAAACGTGGCCTTGATTCAGAACACTCAGGGTTTCGGCTATGAGCATTTACTGAGACTTATCAGAGGCACCACATGAAGTCTCTCAGGAACACAGGTACCTTTTTGATGGGGCCTGTGCTATCATTTGTAGCCGATGGCAGAGCAGCTGGTGGAGCCCTTGCAGTCTTCTGGTCACCTGGTAATTAGCAGGAGTAGTATTTATTTATTTATTTATTTTTTTGAGACAGGGTCTCACTGCCACCCATGCTGAGGTGTAGTGGTATAGTTTTGGCTCACTGCAACTTCTGCCTCCTGGGCTCAGGTGATCCTCCCACCTCAGCCTCCTAAGTAGCTGGACTACATGTGTGAGCCACCATGCCCCACTAATTTTTGTATTTTTTGAAGAGTTGGGGGTGTTGCCATGTTGCTCAGGCTGGTCTCAAACTCCTCAGCTCAGCCAGGCATGGTGGCTCACTCCTGTAATCCCAGCATTTTGGGAGGCCGAGGTGGATGGTTCACCTGAGGTCAGGAGTTAAGACTAGCCTGACCAACATGGTGAAACCCCGGCTCTACTGAAAATAGAAAAATTAGCGGGCATGGTATACACACCTGTAATCCCAGCTACTCAGGAGACTGGGGCAGGAGAATCGCTTAAACCGGGGAGGCTGAGGCTGCAATAAGCCGAGCTGGAATCACTGCACTCCAGCCTGGGCAATAGAGTGAGACTTCATCACACACACACACACACACACACACACAAACCCTCATCAGCTCAAGCGATCTACCTGCCTCAGCCTCCTAAAGTGCTGGGATTACAGATGTGAGCCACTGAGCCAGGCCTCAGGGTATTTTCAAGTGTTAAAACAGCTTTCTCCAAAATCCAAAAAATACTACCCCAAATTATGCCACTTTCTTAGTGGCAAGAGTTTCTGTAAACAGGACCCTTGAGATTTCTTTTTTTGTTTTTTGAGATGGAGTCTCGCTCTGTCACCCAGGCTGTAGTGCAGTGGTGCAATCACAGCTCTCTGCAACCTCCGCCTAGTGGATTCAAGCGATTCTCCTGCCTCAGCCTCCTGAGTAGCTGGGATTACAGGTGCCCAGGTAATTTTTTTTTTTTTTTTTGTATTTAGTAGAGACAGGGTTTCACCATGTTGGCCAGGCTGGTCTCAAACTCCTGACCTCAGGTGATCCACCTACCTCTATCTCCCAGAGTGCTGGGATGACCACTGCACAGGCATGACCACTGTACCCAGCCAACCCTTGAGATTTCAACACCCAGCATTTTTAGTGACTCAAAGCATGAAATTTTTTTCTTTTTCTTTTTCTTTTTTTGAGATGGAGTCTCGCTCTTTTGCCCAGGCTGGAGTGCAGTGGTGCAATCTCGGCTCACTGCAACCTCCGCCTCCTGGGTTCAAGTGAGTCTCCAGTCTCAGCCTCCTGGGGAGCTGGGATTGCAGGCGACCACCACTACACCTGGCTACCTTTTTCGTATTTTCCGTAGAGACAGGGTTTCACCATGTTGGTCAGGCTGGTCTTGAACTCCTAACCTCTCGATTGGCCCGGCTTTGGCCTCCAAAAGTGCTGGGACTACAGGCATGAGCCACCACGCCCAGCCAAGAATGAAAATTCTTATCAGGCCCTTATTTGCTTACACGCTAACCATTCACTTTTTGCCCGACATTTGTCATTCCCGTAATGAAATTATAAACTGCTGACATAACTGTTCCTTGTGAAGCAGGAGGGGATAACTTCAGGGTCACAAAAATATTTGGCAGAAGAAATGAATGTCTTTAAACACATTGCAACCAGCTGCAGACACCTAGAAGTTTGGTCATTCAAAATACTATGTGAGACTGAAGAAACACAGACCTTTCCCCCTTGGTTCTCTGAAACTACACCCCTTTTAGTCTGTAGCTGTGTAAAAACTCCCCATGCCTGGCATGGTGGCTCAGACCTGTAATCCCAGCATTTTGGGAGGCTGAGGCTGTAGTGCACTATGCCAACTGGATATCTGCATCAAGTTCAGCCTCAATATGACCTCCCAGGAGTGGAGGACCACCAGGTTGCCTAAGGAGGAGTAAACTGGCCCAGGTTGGAAACAGAGGTCAAAACTCCTGTGCTGAGGCTGGGTGCTGCGGCTCATGCTTGTAATCCCAGCACTTTGAGACTATCTTAAAAAAAAAAAGAAAAAAAAAAAAAAAAAAAACCCCACAAAACTCCGTGCTGATCAGCAGTGGGATGGCACCTGTGAACAGTAACTGGGAGCCCCCATCTCTAAAAATAAATAAAAAAAATTTATCTCCAAGCACCTGCATCTCAGTGTTTGGCATCAGCTACACATCAGGTACACAAGGCTGAATTTGGGGCTCTACAACATAAGATGGAGTATCTTGACCATTACTCTGGAAGGAATGCCCTAGTCATGCCCAAGGCCACTGATTGAAAAACATTTTCTGTAGTGTCAGTAACTATTTTAGGTGTGGGCCATGGGATCTCTGATCAAACTACCCATATCCCTGCCTGCTGTAGCACCTGAGCAGCCATAGATGGCATTAACAAATGGGCATGGCTGTGCACCAGCGAAACTTCATTTATAGAAAGAGGCAGCATAGAGTGTAGAGGGTAGCAACAACAACAAAAAAACACAGGCAGCAGGCCTGGCCAGTTGCCATGGTACATGCCTTAACTCCAAAACTTTGGGAGGCTGAAGCACACAGATTGCTTGAGCTGAAGAATTCAAGACTGGCCTGGGCAACATAGTGAGACCAAGTCTCTCTTAAAAAAAAAAAAAAAAAGCCGGGCGCGGTGGCTCAAGCCTGTAATCCCAGCACTTTGGGAGGCCGAGGCGGGTGGATCACGAGGTCAAAAGATCGAGACCATCCTGGTCAACATGGTGAAACCCCGTCTCTACTAAAAATACAAAAAATTAGCTGGGCATGGTGGCGTGTGCCTGTAATCCCAGCTACTCAGGAGGCTGAGGCAGGAGAATTGCCTGAACCCAGGAGGCAGAGGTTGCGGTGAGCTGAGATCGCGCCATTGCACTCCAGCCTGGGTAACAAGAGCGAAACTCCATCTCAAAAAAAAAAAAATTAGCTGAGCATAGTGGTGTGCACCTCCAGTTCCAGCTACTTGGGAAGCTGAGTTGGGAGGATAACTTGAGCATGGGAGGCTAACACTGCAGTGAGACAGTATCATGTCACTAGGCTCCAGCCTGGTAAACAGGGAGACCTGCCCCTCCCTGACAGTTAACAATCCTGGAGAAAGGGGATGTTCTGCTGTCCATGTTACCTTGGGATATCAGGTCATCTGAAGCCCTTTCCATACGTGCATACCAAATCCAGCAGAGACTTTCATGGGTGTGTGAAGGTCCTGTTAGAAATCTTCCTCATCGGCCGGGCGCGGTGGCTCAAGCCTGTAATCCCAGCACTTTGGGAGGCCGAGGCGGGTGGATCACGAGGTCAAGAGATCGAGACCATCCTGGTCAACATGGTGAAACCCCGTCTCTACTTCATGGCACTCCAACCCCATTTGCAGCTGGAATTCCGCCTGTTTCTCTGGGTCTCTTACAACCTGTAGGCCTCTGCTTCCCCATGCAGTGCTGACAACTGAAGCATGGTAGACCCATGGGTGGGGAGAAATCCCCGATCAAGGCTACAGCAGGGACACTGTTCTCCCTGGGTTCCCCCATGCCAGTCTTCCCAGTGCCTGCCTGCATTCCCCTAGCCTGCCATTCTTGGTAATGCTGCTGCCCTCACATCAGGGTATCCAAACGTGCAGAACAGAAAGAGCTGCACTAAACTGAGCGTCTGAAGCCCAATGAGGCTAGAAAAGGCTGAAGACTTCAGACCTAATTTTTAACGCAATTTTCAAGGATTTAATCAAAAGCGTTTACTCTTTAAATGAACTCAGTAATGACCCTCAATACTGGTAAAATCATAATACATTAAGTTACAACATACAGCTACTTAAGTGGGAAAATAAAGCTGAATAATGACCAAACCAACATGGAGAAACTCCACTTCCTTAACCAGGTATGTGTAATTCCAGCTACTCAGGAGGCTGAGACAGGAGAATCACTTGAACCCAGGAGGCAGAGGTTGTGGTGAGCCAAGATTGTGCCATCACACTCCAGCCTGGGAAACAGAAACTACGTGTTAAAAAAAAAAAAAAAGAAAAAAACAAACTGTGACACATGTAAAGCTGCCTGAATTTAAGCACTGCTTTCTTTTGCTAAGGTGGACAGCAGTTTGAAAACAGGTTTCAAGTTTGATGTGTGTATCCTGCCATAACCTAAATCGCAAACACATGCCTACAAAATTCACGAGCCTGATCCCCCCCAAAAAAGTAAATCAGATTTTATAAAAACTAGACATAATAGCTTAAGCTCTCTAGCTATCATCTGTGACTCCAGCATCAAGGGCCTAGTAGGAAATTCCAAATGGTTTAGAACCATGCACGTTACAGGTGGCTGGGGCCGCATGTGTCCATTTGATGCTTCCCGGAATGTGTGTTGCTAGTCACCATTTCCACCATTCACATATTTAACATTTTTATTAGACTTTTATTTAGCCTCATCATAAGAATATAAGGGAGATCATAGATTTGATGTATGAAATTATTTTTAAATTCACACTAAAATACATTACGATTAAAATGAATTATCTTCAACCACCCATTTTGCTATCTTTTGCTGAGCAGATAATCTGTGCCAGTCATTGTGAAAAAGTCTTTATTTTAAGAAAAAAATTTAGTTAACAAAAAATTTAACAAGTTTCACTTAGCAAAATACACCCAAAAGGAAATCACAGTACAAAGAAAGTTTTAAGTCAAGGCCTCACCAATTCCTACAGTATTAGTATTGTGTCTCAATTCTCAAAACTAACTTTTAAAAAGCTTAAACTTAACCTAAAGGATTTTAAATGAAAATATAAACTAGAATGAACAAACATGAGAAATATTTCTTTGAATCAGGGAGCTAGCACCTTTGAGTTTTCCAAAAAAGCACGTCTCCCCAGTGTGTTCAGTGATGTGGTGTAAAAGGTCCACATTTAACATACTTAAACTACTTAAACTCAGATAACATCACTCTGAAGTATACTACCAAAATGTTAATTGAGAAAAGCTGAAAATAGTTTTAGTTTACTTATTATCACATGCTAGAAGAAAATTTTGCATGAGAAACACTGAAGAGGTAATTTTTTTTAATCCAGATTTCACAAACTCATGGTGCAAAATGGGTCCCACAGCTTCCTCTATTATAACTGCTCTTAACTGCTTGTTGGCTGCCTGTGTAAAATTTGATTGAAGTAACTCAAATGTTCCTAACAAAACTAGTCATATCCACCCATGCTGTTCTGCCCACTGTAGCCGGCCCCGTAACAGCCGCTCACTGACTGGCTCTCCAGGCCACTATAAGTGGCCTGGGCGGCAGACACCCCCATGCCTTGCATCACCTGGCTGCTATATGCCCCATTGCTGGCCCCTGTTGTCGAATTCAAGAAGAGTTCTATGTATCTGTGTTGCATGTTGGCCCTGTCTTTGGACATGGCTGCGACAGCTTCTTCATGAGTAGCAAACTCAACATCTGCTTCGCCCGTCACTCTTCCATCTGGGCCGATCTCAATATGGACTCTCACAGGATTGAGAGGAGAGAAGAAGTTGTAAATGTCGTTCTCGGTCGCTTTGTACGGCAGACCCCTCATGTGGACACAGTGGCCTGTGGTGCTCTGCACTGTGAACTCACTGTCGCCATATCTGTGGTCATACATTCCGGAGAGACAGTAGCTGAGGTCTCTCCCGAACAGGTCGGTGGTGAAGCCATAACCATCGCTGAGGCCACTGTACTCCTCATAGCCCCCATAGCCTGCACTGTAGGCACCGGGCCGCATCCTCTCCAGGCCTGCCTGCTTCACAATGCCAATATACCTCCTGGCGGTCCCGGGCCGGTCATAGGGCCCCGGCCGCTGCACGGACATGAACTTCAGAGGGGGATCTGAGTATGACCTAACTTCCTCCTGGCTGCTCTTAAACACCTCGATGTACCTGTGCCCTATCCTCTCCTTGTGCTTCCCTAGAGCTTTCTCAGCTAACTCTTGGGAGGCAAACTGCACAAATGCTTCCCCTGTAATCTTGCCCTCGGGGTCCACAGGCAATGTGATCCCGTTTGGCACGATTTCCAACCCTGAGAAGAACTGAACAATTTCTTCCTTTGTGCATCCAAATGGCAGTCCTCGAAGCCGCACGAAGCCGTCGTTGGCGCTGTCGGCACTGTTGGGACCACTGTGCTTCAACACCCAATCCATCTCGGTTCTGTGGGACTTGAACACCTCAATGTACCGGTGGCCCATGCTTTCCCTGTCTTTTTTCAAAGCCAGTTTTACATCATCTTCTGATCCAAGTTCCACAAAAGCCTCACCACTCTGCCTGCCCTCTCTAGTGTAGATGAAATGGACACCTGCGGCCCCATCGTGAATCGTGCAGTCAGAGAGGAAGTTCTGCACGTCCTCAACAGAGCAGGACCAGGGAAGGCCACGGAGCTTGACCACAAAGCCCTCACCTCCCTCAGGGCCCAGCATCATGGACACTTGACAGGATGGGTGTCAGGTGATCTTGGGTGTGGCTTTTTTATGGCTGAAAAACAAAAACAAAAATGACAAATTTATTTAATATGTATAAGAAAATATGCGATAGTAATTTTCCCTCTTTTACAGATGAGGGAGGTAGTAGGACGTTAATAAATACACCAAATATATTTGAGAAATAAAATTCAGATCTCTCAAAAAATTAACAAGATTTTTTTCACAGGCAGTTTGAAAAATCAGGAGTCTACAAGGCAGGACAATGCATGTGAACCTGGTGCCTTGAACAGAGGAATGTAAGTTTCAGTCAGGTTAGAGCAATCACATTTTCTTCTTATATTTATTCCACTATTTATCATGACGAAATGTGGCAGTTCACTTATGGGCAGCAATGGCTTCCAATGTCCATGGAGGTATCATTTTGCTTCTAAATTGTCAATTCAAAGTAAATACCAATCAAATGTGAGGCCAAACTGATGACATATACAGACAAGCAGACCAATTCACCACCAGAATTAAGTTATGTGCACTACAAGTAAATTGAGAAACCAGGTAAGATGATTCACAGGTTCACATAAAATACAGCAGAATTGCTGCCTTTTGCTGAACATCTGGAAGACGGCATTGGGAAGAAAGGGATGATATCACAAGAGAGCTGAGAAATGCCCTTGCCACCAGGGTGGTACATGGAACTTGAAGTCCAAACTCAAAAAAGTAAGGCCAGCCGGGCGTGGTGGCTCAAGCCTGTAATCCCAGCACCTTGGGAGGCTGAGGCGGGTGGATCACGAGGTCGGGATCAAGACCGTCCTGGTCAACATGGTCAAACCTCGTCTCTACTAAAAATACAAAAAATTAGCTGGGCATGGTGGCGCCTGCCTGTAATCCCAGCTACTCAGGAGGCTGAGGCAGGAGAATTGCTTGAACCCAGGAGGCGGAGGTTGTGGTGAGCCGAGATCGCGCCATTGCACTCCAGCCTGGGTAACAAGAGCGAAACTCCGTCTCAAAAAAAAAAAAAAAGAGTAAGGCCAATCACACTCTGGAAGGCAGTCTTCTGAGAAAGAGGAGTAGCTGACCCAAACTACAGCATATTAACGTATCTACAAGCAAGAAAAATACTGCAGTATGGGGTGTCAAAAATAATGCCGAAAATGAGCAGGGTATAATGGAAATCTTTTTTTCTTTTCTTTTTTTGAGACAAAGTCTCGCTCTGTCTCCCAGGCTGGCATGCAGTGGCGCCATCTCATTTCATTGCAACCTCTGCCTCCCAGGTTCCAGTGGTTCTCCTGCCTAAGCCCCACTAAGGATGCCTTAGCCCCACCAAGCAGCTGGGATTACAAGACTGTGCCACTTGGCTAATTTTTCTTTTAGTAGAGACAGGATTTCACCATGTTGGCCAAGCTGGTCTTGAACTCCTGACCTCAAGTGATCTGCCAGCTTCAGCCTCTCAAAGTGCTGGGATTTACAGGTGTAAGCCACCATGCCTGGCTGGAAATCTAATGTTTCAAAGTGTCATTTCACATCAACCATAATAGCTATAGCTGGTGGCATTTTCAAGAAATATGGGCTCATCATTTGGGGGAAAAAAGCTCCATTAATAAAACCCCACAATTTAAAAAACAGACAAAAAGTATAGATATAATTTAAGAAAAGGAAAGGCAAATTTGTAATCATAAATGAAATGCTCAACTGCACTAGCATCAGGGAAAACAATTAGTAACAAGTTATTTAGTAATTTTAAAGTTTGATGTAGCTATTGTAAATGACATTTAATTCTCATACAGTGCTTGGTCATTTCAAATTGCCAATGTCTAAAAGGGTAACTTTGTAAATCTTAACTTTACCTGTGTCTACACTAGATTATAAAAACAAGACATAGGCCGGGCGCGGTGGCTCACGCCTGTAATCCCAGCACTTTGGGAGGCCAAGGCGGGTGGATCACGAGGTCAAGAGATCGAGACCATCCTGGTCAACATGGTGAAACCCCATCTCTACTAAAAATACAAAAAAATTAGCTGGGCATGGTGGCGCACGCCTGTAGTCCCAGCTACTCGGGAGGCTGAGGCAGGAGAATTGCTTGAATCCAGGAGAGAAAGGTTGCGGTGAGCCGAGATTGTGCCATTGCACTCCAGCCTGGGTAACAAGAGCGAAACTGTCTCAAAAAAACAAGACATGTCTCCCAATAACAGTGTAATGGCACCAATGAAACAGAACTGTACATAATATCCTGAACATATCACCGAGACCGAACACCAGGCATTTATCCACAAACTGTGATTTGGAATCCAAAGGGTTGTGAAAGTATACAGCTTAGGTAAAAGATGTCACCCCTGCTAATGAGTGGGATATGCAAGTCTCAGGGAAGACAGTCAATGGGAGCCTAACCTGTATTGCTCACTGCACACTTCAAATGTATTAATACTACGTACATAAAATTATCCTGAAGGGCAAAGGACTGGGCATAAGTAATCCTATCTCCAATTTTCAAACTGTGCTCTGGATCTGCAGCACACACTGAGGTTTAGCCTCTCCAGGCCTTATCTAAACCCCCTGCAGCAGTGTATGGTGACAGTAACATGCTGATCTGTCCGAACAAGGTCACAGCAGCCTCTAGGCTAAGGTTTCTCAGCCTCAGGACTACTGACACTTTGGACCAGACAGTTGTGGGGGCAGGTTCAGGTACTGTAGTATGTTTAGCTGCATCCCTGGTCTCTGCCCACTAGATGCCAGTAGCACCCTCCGTCTTCCCAGTTCTGACAACCAAGTGTCCCCAGACATTTCCAAATGTTCTCTGGTGGCTAGTGCTGCCCCCTAGTTGTGAAATACTGTAGAAAATCAGAGTGAGGCTGGGCACAGTGGCTCCAGCTTACAATCCTAGCAACTTGGGAGGCAGAGGTGGGTGGATCATTAGAAGTCATGAGTTCAAGACCAGCCTGGGCAATATGACAAAACCCCACCTGACTACAAACACGAAGAACTAGCTGGGTATAGTGGAAGGCGCGAGTAGTCCCAGCAACTTGGGAGGCTGAGGCAAGAATATTGCCTGAACCCAGGAAACGGAGTTTTGAGTGAGGGAGACTGCACCACTGCATTCCAGCCCGGGCAATAGAGCGAGACTGACTGAAGAATAGAAAAAGGAAACCAGGGCCGGGCGCGGTGGCTCAAGCCTGTAATCCCAGCACTTTGGGAGGCCGAGGCGGGTGGATCACGAGGTCGAGAGATCGAGACCATCCTGGTCAACATGGTGAAACCCCGTCTCTACTAAAAATACAAAAAAATTAGCTGGGCATGGTGGCGTGTGCCTGTAATCCCAGCTACTCAGGAGGCTGAGGCAGGAGAATTGCCTGAACCCAGGAGGCGGAGGTTGCGGTGAGCCAAGATCGCGCCATTGCACTCCAGCCTGGGTAACAAGAGCCAAACTCCGTTTCAAAAAAAAAGAAAGAAAAAGGAAACCAGGGTGAACATCCTTAAACAGGCCCTGAATATCGCCCACTGTCCTACCCCAACACCCCCTGCTTGTCCAAAGCCCTTCAGATGTCTCCAGTGGCCTTAGGTAAGATTTTCACCCCCTCTCCAGCTGGTTGACATTCCTCTTGGAAGTGGACTTTGTCAAGTCAGAGTCTAGGAGTTTGTAAGCAAGGAGTGGGCCCCTCTTACAGCAGAGATCATGAACTACAGCCTCTGCTCTGGGTCCCACCTCACATACTCTAATTCTAATGCTTTATTCTTTCTTTCCCCTTTCTCCACTGAGCACTATCTCCTTGGTAATTAAGCATGCTCAGTTCTATCCAAATCATAACATACCTTCCCTGTGCCAATCTTGCCTCCAGCTACTTGTTTTGTTCAGTAAAATCATGTCGAAAGGCCTCTACTGTCACTTCCACTCCCCACCATTAAAACTGCATGATCAAAACCAGGCATGTGGCTCAATGCCTGTAATCCCAGAGGAGGGTGGATCACCTGAAGTCAGGTATTCGAGACCAGCCTGACCAACATGGTGAAACCCCGCCTCTACTAAAAACACAAAAATTAGCTGGGCATGGCGGTCGACACCAGTAATCCCAGCTACTCAGGAGGTTGAGGCAAGAGAATCGCTTGAACCCAGGAGACGAGGCTGCAGTGAGCAGAGATCATGCCACTGCACTCCAGCCTGAGAGGCAGAGCAGGACTCTAAAAAAAAAACAACAACAACAAAAAAACAAAACACCAACGAGGCACAGTGGCTCATGCCTGCAATCCCAGCATTTTGGGAGGCCACAGCAGGTGGATCGCAAGGTCAAGAGATCATGACCATCCTGGCCAACGTGGTGAAACCTTGTCTCTACTAAAAATACAGTAATTAGCTGGGCATGGTGGTGCACACCTGTAGTCCCAGCTACTCAGAGGCTGAGGTTGCAATGAGCCGAGATCACGCCATTACACTCCAGCCTGACAACAGAGCAAGACTCTGTCTCAAAACAAAACAAAAAAACTGCATGATCCTATTGTACAAATCTCCATGGCAAGAAAAGTATCAAATATTATCATCGTCATCTTAAACATTCCTTCCTGGACATCCTCTATTTTTCACTCCTGTTGGCAATTACTCTGTGTGGGTTTTTTTTTTTTGAGTCTCATTCTCTTGCCCAGGCTGGAGTGTAGTGGCATGATCCTGGCTCACTGCAACCTCTGCCTCCTGGGTTCAATTGATTCTCCTGCCTCACCTTCTTGAGTAGCTAGGATTTCAGGGACATGCCACCATGTCCAACTAAGTTTTGTATTTTTATTAGAGACAAGGTTTCACCATGTTGGTCAGGCTGGTCTCAAACTCCTTACCCTGTAATCCACCTGCCTTGGCCTCCCAAATTGTTGGAATGAGCCACCATGCCTGACCTGGTATCTCTTTAAAAGTTTACCAAGCATAATGGCTAAGCCTTACTGCCATCCCATCTATGGCTCACGTGTTCTTTTAAAACTTATCACTGTCCTGCTTCCAAGTCCTCAGTTGTTTCCCACTGAAGTCAGAACAAGGACCAAAGGCCCAATAGGATCCCTCAAGCCTTCCAACTTTTGCCTGCAACACTCTTTTATCTAGCTAACATCACTTCCTTTTTTTCTTTTCTCCCGGAATGTGCCAGGCTTTCTGCTTCTTCAGGGAGGTGACGCACGCAGTTAATTCTCTCCCCAAATATACTCTGTTCAACCTTCTGTCTACCTAAATCCCACTAATCCTTAAGGTCTCAGCTCAAATACACCACCTTTCTTAAAGGGTTTCTCATGATCCAAATTAAGTCTCACTCTCCACTACCACTGCTGCATTTTGTGTAAAAGGGGTCTTCAAATTCACAATGGAGGACTACAGGGGAAACGCTTGTGCCTGTTTTCTTGGCCACTGTGACCTCATCCTCAGCAAAGGCTCGACCCAGCTGGCCCAAGATTAGCCAGGATTAACTGCTGCCCATGTTTGGGGTGGGGGTGGGGGGGTCAATGTCAACACCTTCCTCAAGAATGCAGTGACCTGGCTAGGCTGAAAAAGACATACAAGCATAAAAACAAAAACATTTCACAGAAGAATCACTTAAAATGCCTACTAATATCTTACATGTCATAAAGTGTTTTGTATCAGAAACTGTTTCAGAATGACTTTCTCTCTGAAAGCAAGGTGAAGAGACCATTCCTTTCCAAAATACATGTGGTACACTGAAAACATGTACTGCTTTTTCACTTTAGAATTGGTTTTCTTTTCCATTTCTCAGAAGTCCTAAGGCTTTTCAATAACTAATACTCAGCTAAAAAGAGGCCTGTGGTGTACTGCTCAAGGTTAAAGTTAGGGACAAAACTTTTATCACTTCAGGCTACTAAGTAAATTTGAGTATAACAAATATAAATACTGCAGCTGAAAATGGTCTCTTCTTAAAATAGCTCACCTTAAAAACAACTGCAGATGCCTTCAACTGCGGACGCCTTCAGTGGGAGACACTTCTGGATGGCAATGAACTGTCCTAACAGAACAGCAATATTGGCTGTGTGGGGACAGGGCACTAGCTCTGGGCTCAGAACTCCACATAAGGACAGGAGACAGCTGGGAAACCCTTTATAACCCCTGGGTTTATAAAATTAAATCTCACACCCCATCCACCTAACAGGATTTTGGAAGCCTACCTTTTCACAGGACAATTGAGTACAACAGAAGGGAAACGCCCTGTTGGTCTTGAGATTCACTCAATTCCTGAATTTTTTCTTTTGAGAACTTTTGTACTCTCGTCACCCAGACTAGAGTGCAATGGCTCCCTCTTGGCTCACTGCAACCTCTGCCTCGTGGGTTCAAGCCATTCTACCTCAGCCTCCCAAGTAGCTGGGATTGTAGGTGTGGGACACCACATCCAGCTAACTTTTGTATTTTTGTATTTTCTGTAGAGACTGGGTTTCACTATGTTGGCCAGGCTGGTCTCGAACTCCTGATCTCAAGTGATCCTTCCACTTCGGCGTCCCAAAGTGCTGCAATTACAGGGGTAAGCCACTGCTCCTGGCCAATTCCTGAGTTTCTACACCGAGGACCCTTAGTGCTAGGAAGAAATTTAAGTATCGAGGGTGGGGCACTTGGGAGAGAAATGGGTGGTAGAGAAGTGACAAACGCAGGAGACTTGACGGTAGGACTCCTCTTTCACTGGAATAGCACAAGCATGGGACAAGGGTGCTTGCTAGAAATTGTTCAATCTGACTTAGAGGAACCCCTCTGTAACCAGTGTAGAGGCACACCCCAAAAGACACTTCCAGTTTTATTTGGCAATATCTTTTTAAAATGTTTCAGTAGGAAATACATCGTAATCACTAGGATCACCAACATCCCAGTGATAACCCTGTCCCAAAGGACATGGGCTGAGTTGAGGGCTGTGGAATTCTAAAAACGAAGCTGCATGCGAAGTTTTGGAAATGTGAAATTAAGAAAATCAGTTAATTTTGAACCTGTCATCTTTAAATGAAGATAATCGAATCTGCCTTGTCTTGCAAATTTCCAGTATTACATGAGAAATTATTGGGGGGGGGTGTACAAAAGGAAAGCATTATATTAGGAAACCTATTCCAGAGGTGATTTAGTTTCAAGTACTGTGAAATCAGGTTTGCAAGGGGCTTCAACAATCTGTCTTGCTGAAGGATCTAAAAAAGCCAGTCATCAATGATTTGATCCACTTCCTCCCGCGTTTATCCCAGCCCCCGTTCCAGCGTGATCCGCAGACCAACACCTGAGGCCTCTCTGGGTACATGCCAAGCTGGCAGCCAAGTCCTCGTACACCCATCTAACCCACCGGACCAGCCGCTGTGAGCCTGTGGACCGTGCCCACTGCGCACCGCCAACGCACGTGGAGGGAGAGTCGGGTCTCCCAGCCTGCAGTGCCAGGAAACCGCTGGGGAGGGGAGGGCTGCTCAGCACCCCAGGAGAGTGGACCCGGCGGTTTTCAGAGCGCGAATGTTGGCGCCAATTATCTGGCCAACCAGATAATTAAAACACAAGACCCTAAAACAACCGATGTGGGTGGAGACTAAGAATCTGCTTTCCAAAAAGCGCTCTCGGCTCTCCACGCTGTGTTACAGGTTGGACGGGATTAACGCTTGCCTACAGGCAGAGCCAATTAAGATAAACAGGGCGCGCCCGAGTCCACCGACTAGCTCGGCTATCTGCAGAGTAAACAGGGCTGTTCAAGCACCACCCACCTCATTTTCTTTTGTTCAGGACAGCAACCCGGGAGGGACCCTGGCCTCCACTCCTTGACACACTCCCCGGAGACCGGGCAGCACTCTCGCCAGGCGGCTAGGAGCGCATCCTGCCTCGCCGCGCCCATTTCTCACTTAGTTCCACTCTCAAACCAAAGTCCACCCGGCCACGGCCCACGAAGTTTCCTGCTCTAACACTTACCAGGGAGGCAAGCGGGACTGGTTTCTGTTTCTATCAGGCAAGCGCGGCTGGCAGCTAAGAGCCCCGAAATTCCACCGAAGCTCAACCACGCAGAGGGCTCCGGGGAAAGTCCAGGTGCATCTTTTTGTTCTCAACCTGCAACAGAAATCCAAGTGGTCGGGGTCGAACGCCTTCTGCGAGGTGGGAAGGCCCGAGCGCGCGGTGTGCGTGTTTTGGCGGGAAACAGCGCCAAGGCCCCGGGACAAGGTGACGGCGGCGTTCCCGGGCCTCCTTCCGTCGCGCCGGCAGCTTCGGGACCGCCCGGCCGGGCAGGAAGGTCGGCCCCAGGGCCTGCGCGGGCTCGGGCGGGAGCTTCCGGGCGGGGGCGGAGCGAGTGGCGCGGAGGGGGGGCAGGGACGGCAGAGCTCCCGGGGGGAGGGGCGACTCGCGGGTGGGGGAGGGTAGGGGACGCCTGGCGGGCTTCCTGGGCCGGGAGTGCGAGAGCGAGGTTAGGTGGGGGCTGCTTTCCTGGCCGGCTGGGCTAACACAGCCTGGGCAGGAGCTCCTGGACCCGCAGGCAGAGCAGGGCAGAGGAGAGGGAAAGGAAAAAGCGCTCCCAGGTCTGGGTCGGTCTCCCGGAGGCCGTGGCGGCGAAAGGGGGTCTGGTGGGCGGCCGGGGCTAGAGTGGCGGGGCCAGGGCACCCGCGCTGTAGCTCACCACGCCAGGGACGGGCTGTTGGCCCCAAGGAGGCGCGGGGTCCGGAGTTCGGGAAGCCGAGGCCGCGTGATCGAGACCGGCAGCCGGACGTGGGTCACAGGGTGCAGAGGAGGAAGTGCCACCGCCGGGCCCGCCAAGATGTCACCAATGGGAAACGCGTGCCTGCAGGTGCGGCCCCGCGGCCTGGCGCGCTGGGCCCTAACAGGAAGTGGGGGAAGGAGGGAGGCCGGGCGGCGGGAAGACAGTTCTCTGAGTTCTCCCGAAGGGAGTTGACCGCGAGCGCGACCTGGGGAAAGTCCAGAGGGCCAGCCACGGGGAGGGGCGGGGACTGCAGAGTGGAAGAGAAGCCAAGTCAGACACAGCCCCTCTCCGGGAGACCGCCTCTAAAACGGAATTAGCGGACATACCTTGGGTTTGCACATTTGACCATGAATTCACGTATAGATTCTAAAAACATCTTTTGGAAAAAAAAAATTTTTTTTAACTCAATTCCTAAAACTAACTTAAGCAATTTTGTGGCCCTCTGAATCCTGATTCAAATGAACTGTATAACAATTATAAAGCAATTTCAATAATGTGAGCAGTGACATTTTATATTACAGAATTACAAATTAAAAATCTTGTAATTATGCTGTAATTTTATTTATTTAAAAGACCCTTTTTAGAACCGCAAGTATTTGCACATGATTTCTGATTTCTTGGATCTATTTTAAACTACTTGGAAAGTGGAAATACACATGAAACAAGATGTGCTGTGAGCTAGTAATTAGTAAAGTTCCTGATGTGTACATGAAGTTTCATTACGCTTGTTTCTACTTTTTGTGTATGTCTGGCCTTTTTATTTGAGACAGGGTCAGAGCTCGGTGGCTCAGGCTGGCGTACAGTGGCACAATTTCAAGTTGTCCATAAAGTAGTAGGTGGAGAGATGGAGGAAAAACTGGGCATGATTAATAATGGTTGAATCTGGGTGACAGGCACATTAGCCTCAAACCTCCTAGGCTCAAGTGATCCTCTCACCTTAGCCTCCCCAAGAGTTGGCACTACAGGCGCATGCCACCAAGCCGGGCTACTTTTTCCTTCAAAGTTTTAGTAGAGACAATGTCTCTCTGTTGCCCAGGCTGGTCTGTAACTCCTGGGCTCTAGTGATCCACCTTGGCATCCCGAAATGCTGGGATAAAAGAGACACCCTGCCCAGCCCAAGGCAAGTTTGTTTTTTTTAGACAGAGTTTTGCTCGTTACCCAGGCTGGAGTGCAATGCCGCGATCTCGGCTCACCGCAACCTCCGCCTCCTGGGTTCAGGCAATTCTCCTGCCTCAGCCTCCTGAGTAGCTGGGATTACAGGCACGCGCCACCATGCCCAGCTAATTTTTTGTATTTTTAGTAGAGACGGGGTTTCACCATGTTGACCAGGATGGTCTCGATCTCTCGACCTCGTGATCCACCCGCCTCGGCCTCCCAAAGTGTTGGGATTACAGGCTTGAGCCACCGCGCCCGGCCCCAAGGCAAGTTTTAATTATTGATCAGTCACCATCCAGTTCCTGCCTGTGAGGGAACAATGTGTGCAGAAAACTTGAGCCAGGGGTCATATTGTACAGCTGCAGCTAAGTCTGAGATCAATGGCAGGAGATGACAGGGGAAGGTAGCCTTAAAGGCTTGTTCTGGTGCTCAACGGCCAGTGAGAAGGCATTTAATGAAACGTGGTGCAACTGGAGTTTTCACTCACCAAGAAATACTGTGCATCTAAAAGATGCAGTAACTGTAGTGGTAAAGACAAAGTTCCTGCCTTGGTGGGTCCAGTAACAGTAGAGTAGGAAGACAAGAAATTGACTTGCTAAAACTTTGAAGGAAAGACGAGCCGGGCTTGGTGGCATGCACCTGTAGTCCCAACTACTTTGGGGAGGCTAAGGTGAGAGGATCACTTGAGCCTAGGAGGTTTGAGCCTAATGTGCCTTGTCACCCAGATTCAACCATTAAAAAAAGAGTGAAAAAAAAGACAAAAGCCCATTCTTTTTTCTTTCTGTACATTATCTCCCTGACACTTGTTCAAATTCTTATTTTTACCAAAGCCTTTTACTAGGATATATTTGGTGTCGGTTGCTTTGTATTCATATTCTTATCTCATGGTTAATCCTTTAGATTGAATTTAGGATACAGTAGAAGCTTTATCTGTTCACATGAGCAGCACAGATGGGTCTTGGGGGCAAAAATTCCCCATCCTGGTACATAGTATGTGAGCAGACCATAGAACGATTTGTTATGGATGTTTTCTTTTTCTGCTGGAAATCATATTGGAAATTGAATTTAATGACCTCAAATGCTCTTCCAACCCAGCAATTTTATAAAATCCCTATTCAGCAACTCTTAAATACCTCCCACTGTCACAAACTCAAGAATTATGATACAAGACTGAACCAACTCCATTAAAAAAAAAAAAAATGCACCAATGCACACACCTGTAGTTAACTTTTCAGGGGCACATGGATCTGAAGTGTGAGAATTCTAACCCGATTCACACAGCATGCCAAATTCAATACCCATGAATCCTAAAAGCTATTAGAGACTGAGAAGCTTGTATGTGGAGCATATATTAATATTTTAAATGATTACTCCATTACTACATTTTTATCCACCAAAGAGGATCTGTCCTGATCTGCATGCAACAGGAAAACTGTTTTCCATTACCTTCTATCAGGTTCTTCGCTTATTTGCTGTAGCTAAGTCTGGGTGAATAACACACTGCTTCCCTCAGGTTCATTTCCCAAAAGCTGTGTTACTAAAAAGCATCAAGAGTAGTATAAACTAATGTTAGGTAAATTTTAACTATACTGTTTGTACTGAAATTAATGTAAGAGACAAATGTTGACCAATCAAAACAAGTCACCATTCCTATTTGATATTGATTGCATTCTGTGAATGATTCAAGAATCAAGGTATCTAAGGTAAATGTTCCTTTAAATGTTAATAAAAAGCAAAATTGCTACTTAACTTCTGTTCTTAACTGAGGGAAAATGTCATTATTTAGAGTAACTGGAGTTAGCTGGAAATAAGATCCATGCATACCTAAGAAATGGGTGTGTATAGATTCTATTAAAGAAAAATATACTTGATAGCAAGATCGATTTTATTTTTCCCAGACCACCTCCTGTACCTCTCTCCCTTGAGCAAGCAGCACGTAAGTAGGTGCATAGTCAAACCCTGGAGCTGGACAGAAAGTACCTTCAGGAAGGTACATCCCTTGGGATGGGAATTCTTCCTGAAGCCTCCATGGAAACATGACACCTTGTCAGGTTTCAAGCAGCAGGCCCTGAGCTGTGCTGTCTAGGGACCACTGCATTCTGCCTTGGGGGAACTGTGAACAGAGAAAAAGAACAGGACAGTTTACAGAAGAGGGGCTCCAGGACCCAGGAATAATGCACCACACCTCAGACTTAGGCAGGTTTAAAGGAACAAGAAGTGCTAGACAAAAACCATAATGATTTTAACAGAAAAAAAGGAGCAACTTCAGATACTCCATTATGAAGTTTTTTTAAAAAAAGATTTTCTGGAACTAAAACTTTATTGGATTTTAGAAGTTAGTACTGAATTCAAACAAAGGAAAATCAAGTAGAATTAACATAAAAACAGGCCGGGCGCGGTGGCTCAAGCCTGTAATCCCAGCACTTTGGGAGGCCGAGGCGGGTGGATCACGAGGTCGAGAGATCGAGACCAACCTGGTCAACATGGTGAAACCCGGTCTCTACTAAAAATACAAAAAATTAGCTAGGCATGGTGGCAGGTGCCTGTAATCCCAGCTACTCAGGAGGCTGAGGCAGGAGAATTGCCTGAACCCAGGAGGCGGAGGTTGCGGTAAGCCGAGATCGCGCCATTGCACTCCAGCCTGGGTAACAAGAGCGAAACTCTTGTCTCAAAAAAAAAAAAAAAAAAAGAATTAACATAAAAACAGAAAAAAAACAGAAAACGATGGGGAAGAAGCTAAGAGATTTGGAGGACATACTTTTTCTAAAGCAGTTTCCTCTATACTTTTAAAGTCAGGAGTTTTACCAACATATGCCTGTGCTGGGTCTTTTTAAAATATCCTAATAGGAACTACAGGATCGAGCTTATCTAAAGCCAGGAAAATTCACTTCTACCCTTTATCGCTTCTCTTGCTGTCTCCATCTGTGTCTTTTTTTCTCTTTCTGGAATTCCCACTATTCACATTATTTCTCCTGCCTGAGAAGAAACCAACCTTATCGACACCTTGATCTTAAGACTTCTAGCCTGTATGGCAGCCCTAGCATACTAATACACCATGTTACCAAACCAGACAAAAACATCACAAAAAAACTAACTTTTGAATTCTATGTACTTTAAGAGAGTCGTATGTGGTATGTAACACCAACTTAAAGTAGAAAAAATATGTATTTGTCATAAACATCACAATTCTATTAGATAGCACTATTCTAATCAAATCACTTATGATGGGTTTATCGGGATGTAACACAGTAAGTAGGAGTACCTGTATTTGTATTAGGTGAAGAGTTTTGTTAACAAGGAGCATATTACCAGGAGAAATCTAAAAGGAGTCTTAATATGTAATTCCTTTCCTTAATTATGATGACTTTTTGTGTCTTTTTTTTTTTTTTCTTTTAAACGGGGTCTTGCTTCCTTGCCTAGGCTAGTATGCAGTGTTCGATCACAACTCACTAGCACTGCATCCTCTATTTCCTGGGCTCAAGGGATCCTCCCCACTTTGCCTGCCAATTAGCTGGTATTACAAGTGTGCACCATCATACCTGGCTAATTAAAAATTCCTTTTTGAAAAGACAGTCTTGCCATCTTGCTCAGGCTGCTGGTCTTAAACTCCTGAACTCAAACCATTCTTCTGCCTTGATCTCCCAAAGTGTTGGGATTACAGGTATGAGGCTACCTGTTTTTTTTTTTTTTTTTTTGAGATGGGAGTCTGGCTCTGTCACCCAGGCTGGAGTGCAGGAGCACAATCTCAGCTCACTGCAACCTCTGCCTCCCAGGTTCAAAGGATTCTCCTGCCTCGGCCTGGGATTACAAACAGACGCACATCACCAGACCCGGCAGACTTTTTAGTAGAGATGGGGTTTCGCCAAGTTGGCCGGGCTGGTCTTGGACTCCTGGCCTCAAGCATTCTGCCTGCCTCGGGCTCCCAAAGTGCTGGGATTAAAGATATGAGCCACCACATACAGCCTGTGTCATTTTCAAGAAATCTTCTGCCGGGCTTGGTACGTCACGCCTGTAATCCCAGCACTTTGGGAGGCTGAGGTGGGCGG